AACACAAATTTTTGTTTTGAATGAAAATTTGAAACTTTGGTAAACGTATTCTCATATTCGCTAGATGTTACATTCGAGTCAGTTTTATTTTTATTTATATAATTAAAGCACTATAATTTAAAAACAATGAGCGTACAAACATAAATTAAAAACGGACAATCGACAATAAAATTTAAAAAAGTAAAATTAATCTTTGAGTAAAAATTATACATTTTGTACGCTAACGAGTATGACTAGTCAATAATTAGCGAGGAAAATATCACAAATCCTATTTTATTTTACAAACAATATAATAATAATTTGATAGTTGTTTTAGAGCAATTTTATTTTAATATAGGTAAATGCTAATAATTACCTAATTGTAATTGCATTTTGAAAAAACATGAATTTCTTTGAAATATTTGAAAGTACAATAGACACATATATTTCAATGGATTTTTTGAGTGTCCAGGATAAAAAATCAATATAATTAAATTTTCAACAACGTAGCAATAAACCTATAAATATTTATCAAATAGTACAGTAAAACCACGAAATAAATAATAATTGCTTTTAAAAATTAATTAAAATATCATTTTTCATCTTTTCTACACAGTAGTAATACGAGGTCATGGAAACTTTCCTCAGAGATGACAATATGACGTGTTCCGGGATTTTACAACCATCGTTATGCGTTAGAAATGGTTGACGGTTGTGGATAAAGTAATCCTGAAAGTTCCACGCGAATCATAGCTATTTTTCAAAGCAGACGGTAGAAAAACGATCAACGATTTTCGATGAACGATTTCTGTAAAGATCTACATGTCGTGTTCAGAGTTTTGGTCACGCAATGCTACCTGAAATTCGTCGTAAAAATATTATGCTTGGTAGAAGATTTGTATTAACTATGTCGTGACATTCTACAGATTCATAAAGTTATAACACTATGCGGTCCATGCAGTTGCACACCTAATGCAATTTGTTATTTTTGTATTTTATCAATTAGTTATATTATCATAATAATTAATAGATGAAAACGGTGGTAACAATTAAATTATTCATTTGCTTTCAGTTATAGATAATAATATTCATATCATTTTACACGATAATTATTGTTTTTCAATAAGCACACCACTCACACAAGCTATAATACCTAAAAATATGAACAAATAGTATTACACAAGGAATTTCTATCTTAATGGTACATTAAATGATGTTGAATTACTAAAATAATTAAATTTAAGAATTTATAACCTTAAATATTTTATTATTAATTTGTTAATTTTAAATTTCATGCATATATAAGTGAGTTAGCTATACATACAAATGTAGGTATAATGGATTCATACCTATTATTGATAAGTTATTTTAGAACATATACAAAACATTATGTATGGAAGTATGAATGTTATAAAAATAACCTTCAATTTCATTTGAAAAATCATATTTTTCACTACTCATCGGAGTTGAATGACCGGAGTGGGTTAAGAAAAAAACAAAACATGTTTTCAAGCATTCTATCCTTTTACAAGTTATATTTATACGGATTCAATTTAATTAATTGCAAAAAAAATATATCAGTAATCCAACAGGTATGTTCTTTTTCGACCTTGAGAATCTGTTGCACTTGATATTAAGATCTGATTGAACCTGTAAACGTCTGCACCGAATCCTCCGTCTAATCTATCAAAAATGAGTGATGACGTAGAATAAATTATAAAAACATTTAAATAATCAATTGGTTATGAAACATAAAAAGCCATAATAATGTTCTGCAAATAGAAGTTTAATTATAATTATTTGTCATTTTAGAGATTATAATCAAACATTCTTTAAAACTCAATTATAATATATCTAGCTGTAACTATATTAAATGTTATTAATATGTTTAAACAAAGATACCTACGACTTGTTTTTGAATATTTAATTTATTGTTTTATAAACAAGTTACACATTTTTATGAATATATTATTATGGTGTTATAATTATTATTATGTATGTAATATTAGTTCAATAAAAAATCTAATCTTTGTACAGTATATATAAAATAAAATAATATTATTAAAAAAACTTATCCAATCAGCTGTTTCTCAATATGAGATTATTAAATAATGCATTGATTAGCCTTTCTTAAATTTTTGTCAGAATAACTATACATAGTATTGACATTTTTTTCTTGTATGATTAGAAATAATAATTGTTGAACAAATTTAAAAAAAAATATCAAATATTTGTAATTATTAGATTTATCTATGCTACTCCTATATATAATTAGATCACCATTAAAATAAAATTATTTTTAATTAAACGTAATTTATTGATTTAGTACTATAACATTATTCTCAAACAAAAATATAATATTCAATCAGTTCTTTTGCATTGCATACATGCCTACGTTAATAATTTTAATATGATATGATATTTCAGTAAATATCTAGCTATAACAATTTGTACTACATGGCCAATAGTGTGAAAAGGTCAAATGGAAAGTACAATAATATAATATAGTATCAACATTCAACATACCATAACACTTAGCTATTGATTGCATTTTTTACAAATAGGTCAATATATTATAGATTTATAGATTAAAAATAATATATAATAAACTTCTACTATAAACACGCTTTGGTATTTAAAAAATACATAACTAAAGTTACTATAAGTTTTTAATTTTTAAACGTTCATAAATTAACAGCACTTACTTATAATAATATTATATTCATAATATTAAAATTGAAAATTTTCAAACTATTGTGTGGCTAATTAACGATATATTAACCAATGTTCGTCTAGGTGTTTTCTGATCCTATAATGATTTAAATGAATCTTATTGTTTGTTTGGTACTAAAAACTTCAACCTTAGTACTTTACTACAAATCTAATAAACAATAATATTTTCAATGCATAAACATTAAATAATAATATATCGTCTACGGCAATCACTATACACTATGGTTACAAAAAAGCTATTATAAATTATAAATATTACATGAAAATTACATAACAATTGTAAGTGTACTCTACTGTAGTTCCACTCCAACAATGGTGAATCTGACATGAACGTTTCAGCAACTGTTGCACGTTTGATTACATAGATAATTTAAATCGATCATTCCCTGAATACAGCAAACTGCACACGTTAATACCCAAACGATATTATAGTTTATTACTAATGTTACCGCATTAAAATTAAGAAATTAAAAAAAACGTTTATTTGCCAAATAATAATTATTCATTCGGTTTCCTCGATCGCATTTGGTAACCGTACGTCACACGCGTCATTCTTCCAATAGGTATTGCCCAACGGCAATGACATCCATTGAGGTCGTTGTGACCATCATCGTGTTGCGTTATCCAACACACACATACACGGGTACGTACCGTGGAAATCGACTTTAATTTTCACGGCGTATTATAAAGACGAGAAAAACGTTATTGTAAAAAATGAATACTATATATATATATACAGAGAAACGCATACCAATATGTATATAATATACAGATACGAGTTCTATCTAAATACACATAAATATCGTGTAAACCTAATCTGTTGTATATATAATAACGTTGCGACGAGTTTAAATTAATAAAAATTGAAATATCAGCTGTTATACACGTCACTCAGGCTTCTAATAATATTGGGTTTCGATTAAAAAATCGACATGCTAAATGGGTGTAAAGTAGATAGTTAAATATACGTGCGGTATATGGATCGTGTATAGTGTTGCAATTCAGGTCAACCGGACGCATAATTCATTTTTTAATACATAATATAAAATATTTATGTAGATGACCAACGCAAAAAAAGATATATTATGCATAATCTTTCACTTCCAGTTTGTTTTTTAATGTATCAAACATAGTGCTAGATGTACGTATATATTCGGTCATAAATCAGATTGGTGTAAAAATACAACGATATAGTAATAGTAATACGCATTTTACAGTATGATGGCGACACTATATTCAGTCATTAAATATATACTTACCTGAAATTCATACATTAAGTATTAAGACTTAGTATGTCAATAATTTATAAGGCAATGATCTTCGATCCGTCAAGTAAAATCAAAATAACAAACATACGAGTACATGCATATGTTGAGCCTTTTGAGGATAGATTTGACTGAATCATTGTGAAATACAGCGATACCTTTGGAGCATATATATTATATATATATATAGTAATAGACAATATATACATATCAACATATACAATATGTTAAAGATTTTGATGTTAAAATGTACCATTTAAATTTTATTTTAACAATAACTCAAGTTTATTGATGGCGTTACACTGTGTATTCGCGATATCCGTATAATCATTCGTCATTATTAGTATATTCAATTCAATTTTGTTTGCCATTTTACGCGGATCGAAGATTTCACAATCTATGTCATTTTAAATACAAACTTAAAAGATTTGTAAACCCGAACACTGATAAAGAAAAAAACGTTTATATTCAATTTTTCGAATGTAAAAGATCATTTAAAATGTGTGAATATTATAAAAAATGTCTGTATAAAAGTATGTAACAAATAACGATAATTATTATTTATTGAAATGGAAATCGAGCGCTATCAAGGTAAAATTATGTTTATAATTTATCGATAATACGTAGTTGGCCTAAGCCAAGAACAAAACTGTAAGCTTGCACAGTAATTCTAATTGATACTACTATAAAATATCTTCAACGGCGCAACTTTCATGGAGGAGTGTGTTTATGCTCTTTAAAGCTAGGTACGTATTGTCTTTTGCAGAATTTTTGAAAGATTTATACTAAAAACGTACTTATATTTTTATTTAATTTTACTGTTTTGGATATCAATCAATGCGGATTCTAATATCAGAGCTACATATATAGTCAACTTTTGATTTTCCGTCATTTTCACACAAGTCTGGGGGAGTGATGAGAGCAACATTTTCGCCCGATTTTCATTTTTTAACGAAAACATTGGATAAAGAAGAAGAAAACAATACATTTTCAGATTTTTCGTAATATAATGATAAGCAAAGCTTCTTATTGACATACACAGGTAATATGTTGTATGCACGTATATTTCGATCGAAACATAATGTTTATTGTTAGATAAATCTACATTTTTCCAAATTTCCATTCAGTCACAGTAAATTATAATATTATATGCATATAACGAGTGAGAGTATATCTTTTATACATACATCTTCATCACATTGTTGGCGGAAAATGGCACTAATAACGATTCGGACAATACGCGCGCTTAAATATTTATAATATAATTATTTTTATTATTATCATTATTATCATGTTCGAGTACGATGTTTGTTGTTGGTCTCCACTTTATCTGTATTGAAGCCGGCTGCGGTTGGCGACGACGATGATGGCGGCGGCGACGACAAGTATAATAGAACCTGACTAGAAATTTCGTTTAAAAAAAAAAAAAAAAAAATGATAGTTTCGAACGACAGCGAACCGACCTACACTACAATATTTTAATTCGTGATTATTTTACAGCAAAAATAAGTGTTCTATGAAGTGCAATCAACTGCAGTACCAGCCGAACATCATTCGGCTAGCCCGCGGCAGTTCACCGTCATCCGTCTGCGGTGCGATCTACCGCCTGAGCGCCAAGAACTTGGCCAGTGCTTCGTAGATGACTCGCGGGTTGATGCTGCTGTCGGCCGTGTACCGAACGCCTCTAGTGGTGCCGTCATGGTGGCTGACCACTCCGTACTCGCCCACGATGAACCCGTCCGGCGTCTCTTCCTCGACCCTGTACTTCCTGTAGTGTTTTCCGTCCACCACATAGCCACTCTTCCGGGTTTCCACCGCCTGAGTCGTGGTCGTGGTAGAGGTGGTGAAGCTGGTAATGGAGATGTCGGTATTGTCACTAGCCGTGGTGCTACTGACGTCGTAACTCCCGGGCACCGAAGTCGTCGGTGTCAGTTGCTGTTGCACGCCGTGCACGCGTCCGTCGCTCAGCACACTCACCGCTTCATCCACCTCGTAGTTCTGTTCCGGTTCCGCGTACACTCGTTCAGGTTCCACGAACATCCGCCCTGGTTCCCCGTAATCCGGTTCCTGTGATTCCTGCTGTAGCAGGCTCTGATCCGACGAGGGCGGCTGACCGTTGACGGCCACGGACGGATCATCGTACTCCGCATAAATCGAAGCAGCCGTTGCCGCCGGTCGCGTTGGTGACACTGAGGGTCTCTGCCACTGTTGCCGCCGGTGATGCCAAGGGCGGCTCGCGCAATGCGATACCTGTGGTACGACACGAATCAAACAATCGATTAAATTCCTGCGATGTATACTTAAAAATATCCAACAACTATATTAAAGTAGATTTTCACTATACACTCGTTTTACCATTAAAACCCTTTGTTCATTGTTGGTTGGTATGTATGGTAATGTTTTGGTATACAAGTGTGCTTACTGATTATTCGTTCTTATCACAAGACGAACTACGTTACTGTGCCATTGGTTTTAGTTCAACAATATCGCGAATAAGGTCGTAGACAATTGATAACGATGGAAATGATATAGGTAATCGATTATCATTTATCACATAGTTAGTAACCATTTAAACCCGAACCCATGTATTACCGATGTCAGCCAATAAAAAAATTGCACTCAGAGCAACTGTGAACATAATATTTACTGAACAAGTGAACGTGTGTAGTGGAAACCTAGTCCTACTCTTAACCCTTATATCGTGTGACGCGCAAAGACGATTGCCTTTACACTAGTGTTGTTAATAATTTAGTGAGCTGTGTTAAAATACCACTGTTTTTTTTTTTTTAATTAGCTGAACGTTTTGGTTACCTTTTTAATATACTGTGCTACCAGGTTTTACCGTACAGTTGATAAGTATTCATCTTGTCAACATGCGGTTATAGTGATTGAATGGTGGTTACCAATTATTTTTTATTACTACCCATAAATAGCATTTAAAATCACGGACCTTACATATTATATTTTAGTTAATGTTTAACGTTGTTCAATGTTATACTAGCTTACCTTTAGGCTTTAACCACGTTCTAAATTTGTTAACCAAAATAATGTGTTTAAATAATACAGTGTTACATCTATAAATTGTTCTATTTCGATTACTTGTATTATATATTAACTTACAGTCCGTGGTCAATTTCATAGCGCACCATAAACTCTTCAACATTGTATACGTACTTGAATTAAATAATAATTAAATATAATTTACGAGTTTTCGTGTTGTTTCCTGTGTTATGTATATAAATTGCTATCGTTGGTTTATGGATTTACGAAAATTTAGCTGAGTAATAACCATCAGGTAAGTACATATATCGTCTTCTTAATAATTATAAAACACTCTGATAACGCATACTCTCGTGTTTACATAAACAATTAGGTTGAATCTCATTAATGTGTTATAATGATATTGTAATTAAAATAAATTAGAGTATCGAAGTAAATTATATTTGCATGTAGATATACCTTGAAAAATATCAACAGCACCGATCTACGCTGAAATGAAAGTATATTCTGTAATTGCACCTATATTAACCGTATTCTAAGTAAACGTAATAAATAATTATACAGTGCACGGTGTGTAATTTAGTGGACACTACACAGCTCATTCAAGCTATGTCAATTAATTATTATTATTTTAGTCAAATAATACGTTTAATTAACGAAGAAATAAGAACCTAAGAATAACTTACTTTATTTTTAATAACTTTTCAAGATACAAAACCGGTAAACTAAACCAGGTCATTTGTTTAATTTAAATTTTTTTAACAATAATAGGGTAATTTGTCCACTAATAATAAAAGCATTAAAATGTATTTGAATGCGCTCGAGTCGTTAATATCACAATTATTGAGATTTTTAAAAGTATGATGGGGTACTTAGATCACCACGTCTTAATTATTTTTATACATACTGTATACACATAGATATAGTTACAAACAATAAGTTAACCAGAAACATATTAGAAGTATATTATAGGTCACTCGATTATTTTATACTATGATTTTACTTATATGATCTAGTTTAATGTCGGTAAAATGGTTGAGTCCGTTTTAGATTGACAATATTAATAGCGTTTCCTTTTTGATTCGTCCCGTTGTAAATAAACATAATATTAGGTATCTATACTATAATCGCTTCAATACAGTTCAACGTTAATTTGATGGGTACACAAAGCCGGCGTTGTCACCGATCGATTTCATAAAAGGGGTATCTATACTATTTTATTATAATCGTAAATCTCGGTGGACTAATTTCAACACTTTCTTTGGCCTAAATCCGACAAGTTGCAAAAATACGCTCAGAATTCAATTCGTCATCGTCCGGCTGTGTAGATGAGTCGAAATGCATTTTTGACTTTCTTAGCAGATTCATTTATAATTTCTATGCACGTATATTATCTAAATTACACCTGCCAATGGATGCAAAGTAAAAGAAAATTCTTCGTCCAATAATACAACGCTACGTCGCGTATTATAATTCCATTAAAATTATTTTACTCGAAATAAAAAATTTCGTGATGATATATAATATAATATTATTATATTATTATTATTACGTAAATCTGTGTATATTATTATCGGATTTGTTAATCGTCGTCTCGTCAATGCGTTTTCGACTAGGTCGTGGGTCATATACACAGATATATATGCATATATATCATAGGCGTTCTGCCAAGTACGCTTATGTGTATATGTACATTTCGCGGCCTTATTATTTCGAAAATAAACAACCGGTTGCCGAATACTGATCGCGCTTGATGCCCCGTAGCTATATATAATAATAATATATAGGCGATAATAACATTATATAGGTGATTCGTCCGTGGCTGCAGTGTCGAACACTGTTAAAGAAAACAATTTGGACTTATTAGTTATAATAGCCAGGGCAGATAGTAGTGATTATAGCAAGTATATAATATCGTATTATATGTATAATAGATATAGTATTATTCTTACACATACATACGCGCGCGCGCGCTATAATAGCTGGCAACAGTATATATTAGTTACATATATGTATACAGAGAAAGATACATACATTTAATATACGCAGACTCGAATGTGCACGTGCTGTACCTGTCTGCTACATGAAAAAACATATATCGTTCCGAAAGCCATAATTAAAAACGTTTGTAATTTATGATTCAAAATGCGCTTATGATATTATATTGTCGCAATGTCTAGGACTCCATCTATATTCTTACACTATGTTACATTACACGTGTTGACGGCCTTGAACACTGTTAGCCGAATGCCCTTTTTCGCGTGCACACGCACATACATATTATAAACCAACGCACTTATCGGAATGCTTAAAATATTTCGTGGTTAAACACGGCACAACTACCCCAATAGGATTTACTAAACGACGTTCTTCATGAACACCTCTTAGACCGTACTTTATTCGTGACTACAGCGCAATCTTAGTTAGAAGTGTCTTGAACTGTTAATTAATTCGTCACATTAATAAGATATCGAAATGTTTTTGATATTCATGATAACATTCAGGTAAAATTTTTAAAATTCTATAACAACCGCCAAACCTTTACCTATATCGGTAACTATCAGAATTGGTTAATAGCTAATAACAATTTCAATACCTATACTATTATATTCCACTTGTACCTATCTATTTATTTGAAATCAATAATTACAACGAATGGACAGATCAATATTTTTTTCTTCATATATCCAAAAATAATTTTAAAAGATAAACGGATAAATTGCTTATAAGTTTGTTTCAAAGAAAAATATAATTATGTTTTTTCATGGATAAATATAGATGTATAAGTATAACTTACAATATTTACTGCAGAGGAATTAACGCATCAATAAGTTGCATGGTGTGATGTCTAAAGATTAAAGAAAAATACATTGTTTGTATTTATAATTATATATATGCCAACCCCTATGGTATATTACATTTCGCAAATCTTGGCAAGCTCTTCTAGCCTATGTTAATTTTCTATAATACAATAATAATATGAATGCGCATATCACATATATTATTTGTACATCAACTATTAAATATTAATGTAAGTATATGCTGATGATCAATAGAAAGCTGTAATTCCATAGTAAATATATATTATTATATTATCATCATAAATTTGTTACCCAAGATGAACATACGCTTATTAATTTTTAAAAATCAAAAAATATGTTCAACTAATTATTAAACGGACCGTAAATATACTCGTATATCATAATATAATAACTAACATACGTACTCCTATTTATAATTTATAATATAATGAAGTTTATAATTTTACATGTAATAAAATACACAACATACTGAATTAACGTCTTACGATGTGTTCAAAAACATTATATTCAATCGTTTCGACATAAAAGCGTGTTTGTATACTATAGTACAATTTAATGCAAATATATTTTTATAACAATCATCAATCACATTTTATAATTACAATTTTTAGTCTCAAGAATTTATATCGAGTTCGTATTTTAGAACATGATGTAACGATTTATTTAAAATATAAAACGCTTTTCATTGTTTCAGGATTTTAAAAGTACTCGTAACAAACTCTATTATTCAAAAAATAATATTTTTTTTTTAGTATATTTTTTATTTAGTTTCATTTTCTTAAAAAAATATTGTTTTTAGAACAATTAATTATACATATTATATTATATGAATATAAATATTTAATTTTAATATTTTTTTTATTTATAAACATTTAAATTTTTGAATTAAATCTGAGATGGGAAAGATATATTATAAAAATGTATAGTATTCAATTATTGTGCTCGTCAAAATAATAAACTCCTCATGAAGTTGAATATTATTACAATAAATTTTAATATTTAGTAAATAAAATATAATCCGTAAATTTGTTTTACAAGTATGTGGGTGCCAAATTTTATATTTAGATTATAATAAACATGCATGGAAAAATAATTTATTACCTATTGGTGGTAATCTTCGACTTCAAAGGACTAAGTTTTAGTTAGACAAAACTCAAAAGTAATACCTAAAATACGCAAAAATGAAAAACTATTTTTTAATAATTTTTTTAATCTTAGTTTTTTTGATATATGAATTATTTTTTATTTATAACTGTTTAATGTATAATTTTTTAACTTATGCCTATGCATACAATTACATAAAATCGGTGAAACCAAATGCTCAAATCGTCTATTTTTTTCGAAAGACCAAAAGCCCAAATTAATTTTGCGCTTTTGTACTTAGTATTTAATAGAGGGATAAAAGTGCAAAAATAAATATTGTACCCGTTACACTGTATTCACTGTAAGTTTCAAAATTCAAAAATACATCAACAGTGATCAAGTTCAGTTGAAGTTTGGTATTTCGTAATAAATTACGGAGAAGATTAATAAACATTTGAAATAACTTTATAATATATAATATACAGAACAAACTTATTTCTAACTTATAAAAAATACACTTTATTTTTATAAAATTAATTTGCATTTATGGTTTGTTAAAAAGGTATATTTTTTAAGCTTAAAGAATACCTACCTATTTATTTTTGCACTTTTGGGTTGCGTTTGGGTCATATTTTGTGCTTATGGGCTACAGCTCGTAAAATGCATGGCATCCATTACTGAGCATAGTTCATGTTATTAATACCATTTTATCAATCATCAAATGTAAAACCCTTTGGTGAGCGGGGTACCGTCGGTTGTACCACCATCGTCAATATAATATAATATACGAAACGATTCATCTATTGATTATATACAGTTATAAAAAAGAACTTGGTTAACTTAATGTTTATCATTTATAATGCGAATACGACATTGTGAAAAAAAAAAACATAAAATGTATTACGGAAAAGGGTGGGCAGCGAAAAGTTGTTATTTCGCACATAATTTACGAGGTATAAAGAACGCGAAACGACGCGAATATAACATGTTAAAATTGTAATACTACAATATAATTATTGATCATTTGATTATTGACTATGGTATTGTTTGGGTCGTTAAACCATATTATGGTCACACGCGACAAACAGTGCACTACACAATAATATGTAACTCACCTACGTATAACCGGATTCCGGAGGAGCTTAATATCGTGTGATACCTACATACAAAATATTATAATACACAAAGTATTGTGTTTATTAGCTGTGGCCGTGCAGTCGAATTATGTGTGAGAGATACGTGCGAGGCTACCTAATATGGCTGCGGCAACAGATTTTCTGGTGGTAAAACATATAATATATAGTTAGGTAAGTACAAGACAACTAAGATATTGATAAGCAACCGTTTGACCGAATTTAGAACTTTGGCAAAAGCGGCGTAAAAACGTTTTGCGGGAAAATATATTGTTATACACATGTTTTCGCGCGTATATACTGTCTCACGGGAGCAACCCTACCTACACCGAGAATACCATTACATCATCGTTGTTGACGCGTGTATGTTTCCGGAAGCATTTTTTCGTCTACTAAAACGTAAATGCTTCCGATTATTTTACAACACTAAAAAAGAAGTACAGCTAATAAGTATATGTATAGTATGAAAAAATTATTTTTATTGTTCGTCAATACTTGGTAATGTTGGAAATCACAAAAGTTATTGAAGTCATGTTCGATATTACTAGGTTTGGTTAAGAGTTAAGTTCTCATTGAGTTATTTCTTGTTAAGTGTCACCGACAACAAATTTAAAAATAAATCTTTGTGGACAATACAAAGTCTGTCGGACCGGCGATGGTAAGTATTATTATTTATTATAATAAATTACGATTTACAAACGATAGGCTTGAGTGGTTATTCTATATGTATACTGACCAAGAGGGTTAGGAGGACGGTGACAGTGGCGAAGAGCGCAGTGCCGCGCATATCTCGTCTCTTCACGGTGTCGTCGCGACGTGCCGGCTGCAGCTGTGGTCCTGGCGTCTGCGCATGGTCGGACGTCGCGGGTTACACTGGCCGCGACGAAGTCGACGCGCTCGACGACGACGGTGACGGCGACGGTGGTGGTGGCCGTGCGCGCGCGCGCTCGCGATAAGTGCACGCCGCGCCGAACCGTCGCTGAAGGATGGCCGCGGGGCGAGAAAACGGGGAAAAAAGAAAAAAAGTAACGAAAACAAAAACGGGACGTTGTCGCGATGACGTCGTACCGGCCGGTGTCGGCGATGGGTGGTGGCGGTGATTGCGTCGGGCGGCGACTGGAGGCGATGGTAGTAGACCGAGACCTTGATATGAGCGTGATACGGTAGTGGGCAGCGCGGGGGTGAGACTTTGCCGCCTAGCGTAATATTATTATTATTGGTGAAAAAAAAATAAAATAGGTATTCATAGAACAACGCGTTTCATAAACTATTTGATTTATCGTTGTGTCTATGAATTTTATTTATTATGTTTGTGCTGCAGAGACGGAATTCCGCGGTCTGGCGCCTCGGCGACCTGAGCGACGCGTATAATAAGTACGCTAACATAGCTGTCGCGCGCGCACGATAGTATGACGCCAATGTGTCATTTTTGATGTTATAAGCCGCCGCCGGCGCCGCGGGCCGTCTTCCGCCGTGTGACCACGAAATACAAAAATAGTATTATCCGCGCCCGTATACCGATGCGTCGTACAGTTCTGCTACCGATGCGCCATATACGATAGTATAAACATACCGGGTACGACTACCGCGGGCGCGGGTCACTCGCGACGCCTCCCGCGGTGACTGGATTTTCCAACGGCGGCGGCGGCGGCGGCGGCGGCGGCGGCGATCTCGGTGACATCTGCACCAACACGTCCGATCGCGTTATTCCTACTCCGCCTCCTCCACTACCGCCGCCGCCACTGCCTCCACGATATCACTCGGAGTATGTGTTACGTGTGCGTGTGCATATTTTATTAACCGTTGCTCCGGCGGCGGCGGTGGCGGTGGCCGTCGGCAAATTCCGATCTTATTACAATAATATAATATTATATTATATCTGGCCGCGGCCGTTTGGAGACATCGCTGCTGCTGCAGCCGAGATACGCGCCGACCGCATTATTAATAGAAGTATATTATATACCTACATAAATATTTTTTTCTATCGTATCTTGACCTCTTTGGAGGAATGTTTTTTTTCGTTTCGAAAATATTTACTCGACGACGACGTCCTTCGCGCGGTACACTTTTCACACACATATTCGTATGTATGTATTTTATTGTGACGTGTAGTGTTATTAGTGCGCATAGGTAAACATTCAAATCTACAATATCGTAATAACGCATAGCATAAAATCTAAAACGTTTTATAATTTATAGGCGCCTCCTCTATTTCCACGATTTCCGAAAACGTACGCGGATTTGATAAAAAGTCATACTCAAATAAGCTGCTAGTATTTGGTAACAATTACTTTAAGATTATAGATTAACGTAAAATATTGAATTGACTCATCTTAGCGAAAAGCCCGCGGGTCACGGTATATTATAATCTATATATACTACCTACCTACCTTGTGCTCTCAGTTGTAGCTATTGCAAGCACGTCGTTTTGTTCGCTTAGCCGTGTTTGGTGTTTGCGCTACGTTGTAATAATACCTATACCAATGCGTTTTATCGAGCTATTTTTTTTTCCGTTGCAATCAACATAATGATCCGTGTCCGGATCGTATAATTATCGTCGTCGAGTGCGGATCTGACAGATCCGGGGAATGGCTGCTTATAACAGCAATACAATTACATACTAAAAGGAATAGGAAAAAAAAACATTTAAAATTGTTTTTAAACTGGATAATAATTCAGCGTATATATAATATTCGTATAAGTATAATATAATATGTATGTACACAAATAGTATGGCAGAATTTACTTTCCTACTTACTACACACGTAAAAACGTATAAAATTAAGATCACGTAGATATCACTTATATCTTACAAGTTATAGTACGAACTTATGTAGACTATAATATAATATTACATATTCATATACAATAACAGACTTATCAGCCGTTATCACAAGACGAGAGCAAAATAATTTTATAATTGATGTTAAAATTGTCTGTTGTGTGATGTATAGATAAATATATCGTAATATTTAAATTACATTAATATAAAAACTATTGAGTATTTTACAATTATACACCGCAAACCGTTTAAATTAGTATGATACACCAGCTACTCTAGAGTCGATACAATTTAAAAACCACGTACTTAAGAATTAAATGTCTATTTTTTTTTTATCAAAAAAACGATCTTAATATGTAAGTAAACATTTTATATTGTTGTAATTCACTGATGTTAATATTTAGGTTATGAATTATGTAGTACCCTAAAACTACCCGAAGGTCATTTAACTCGTCCAAGAAAAATTTTTTATTTTTAGTTCATAATAATTAAATTTCTATATTCTTACTATAATTGATATGTATATATTATGATAAAGTTGAATATTACTCTTTATAATGATTTTTTTCCATCATTTGCGTGAACATAATTTGTTAAAAAATACCATGACTATTTTGAGACAAAAAAAAATCGTATAGGGTTTCTTTCTTTGAGTTATATTTATCTGCGCATATCCCGAGGCTCTATTTTTTATAATCTTTGCACGCCAACGTGTATAATTTTTATATACAACATATTATGAATATTTTTTGTGACCAATCGATTTATAACGTTTTTTTGTAACATATCCAAATGATCTTAATTAATCATAATATATCCAATAAAATCTATTCGGTTAAATTATGGGTATTTATGAATCATATAAATAATTTTTTTATAAAAAAAAAAAAAAAAATAGAAAATAATACGAGTATAATTAAGCCGTTATTGTTTATTATGAATTATGATATAATAAACTCTACAATTTCGTTAAAAAATTATGTAAATTTTAGATTTTAATGCAAACTGCAGGTACGATTATAAATTCGGTGTGGGAGTATAATACATTATTAAGAGTTGTGAATGTTGTGATGATTATTATTTAAACAGCGCAAGCTATAGTGAATAACAATAAAATGCTACTATATGTTGAAAATAAGCACAACCTAATCAAAACCATATAACATTATATTATAAGTTATAACTAGAGCACGGATTTTTATGCACAAAAAGGTATCGAAGTATGCCATATAATATGCAGTAAAAATCATAAAAATATGCAATAAATATGCAAGAAAATTTTTTTTATTTATATACAATTTACAAATTAAACAACTTAAGATAATTAATTACTTAAATAAACTAAGTATATACAAAATTTTTATTTTAATATGTAATATATTTCGAATTTTGTAAAAATATATAGAAATGTACTAATAAAATTTCACCATTAGATTCAAATTCATATGACTTGTGAAGATAACTGAAAAAAATCTAAAAAAATGAAAAATAAAATAATACTTGGTTGCATATAAATCTGCGTTATGGTTATAATTTAATGTCAACAAAATTATTTTTAATATTTCTACTTGACAAAATGTTATTTTACATAATTTTTTTTTTTTATTTTTGCTTTAATATGCAATATATTTCGAATTTTGTAGAAATATGCAAAAATATGCAATAATCATTAAATATGCAGAAATATGCAAAAAAAAAAATCACCATTAAATTCAAATTGTTATGATTCGTGAAGATAACTGACAAGAATCCAAAAAAGTAAAAGTGAAAAAAATATACAATTACATAGAAATCCGCATTCTAGTTATAACTTGTAATATAATATTATATGGTCTTGATTAGGTTGTACTTATTTTCAACGTATAGTAGCATATTTTATTGTTATTCATTATAGCTTACATACTAGATAATTCTATTATCTAACAACACTCATTGTTTCAAAATCTATTATATTTTTGAAAATATATTTTTTAAGCTTCTAGTCAAAATAAAGTAACATATTCTTAAAAAATTATTTTTTCTATCATTATAACTAATAACATTTTTTTATTTTTTTAAACTTTTTTGAGTGATAATATACATTTTAAATTTCATATTCAAAGGTAGACTATTTTTGAGAGTATTTAAATTCATGAAAATCTAAATTCGCACAAGTAGTTAATGAGTTAAAACTGTTATAAGTATTTAAAGTTTAAGTAATCGGAGTAGTAGACTAATCTTTTTTGAGGTATCCCCACATAACTTCACTCCGTTTACCTAAACTTTAAATACATATAACTCATAAACTACTTGTCCGAATTTCGATTTTAATGTATTGAAATATTCCAAAAAAATATTTTGCTTCAGAATATGAAATTAAAAATGTATGTTATCATTCAAAAAAGTAAAAATTTAAATAAGTATAAAAAATATTTAAAAAATTGTTTCATTTTAACTGTAAATTATGTAAATAAATTATTTTCAAAAACATTAATACGTTTTAAAATAATGAGTATTGTTCGATGAAATAATCATCCTGTTATAACAAGAGCGCTTATGGAGTTCATTTGATATACATTTCGTATGATGCGTATACCCTTTAGGAGTTTGCCCCTCATCGCACGTTTCCATAACCACTCCGATTTACAACAGTATAAATGTTTATAAATAAAAACACACATTATAACCATTATACATTAACAATATTATATACGAGTACTACAGTAAATAAATTTATCCAAATATTCAAATTTACATTCTCGGCGAATAAGTATAATCCTATAATATATTAATATCAATCAAATATTTTCGTGGAGTTTTTGGATTTTTATCTATGGTTCAGATAATGTAAATGAATTATAGAAACAGGGAATAATATCTAGACTGATAACTGATCAGTGATTACTGTCGAAAATAGTTCCCCACACGCCCATTCGATTTTCGCCCACATATAATATCATAATATCATATGATGGCATGCGTAAATCTATTTCACAAACATCGTATATAACGTGTTTAATTGTTTATGTATACATTATAGGTACTTATATATAATATTATGCGTTTTCCGTGTTCACTTCGCGCAGACGCGATAGTATATACCGAATATTTGTAACATGCGTGAACTCGCATTTAGGAATGCGACAATGTGGGTCTCCGTCGTCCCGCACCTACATCGGTATTATATATTTCGGCTGGAATGTCCCGGAGTCTGTGAATTTTTTTTGTTTGTTTTTATGTAACCATGAATTTATGATTTTCATGTTTCTTCATTGTATAT